AGAAGTGAGAGAGTGGGGAGAAGTGCTTGGAAATACTGCATTTGTGCAGAAGTCGGAAGGTATGGGAAGAACTGCCCAAAGAAAAGCCTAGCGTGCACCCCTAAGCCTGGCTGTATGGCTATGATAATGAGGCCCAGACTCATGGAAAGAGCCACCTGGACTGTTCTTTCTGTTCAGAGGGGTCTGCAGTGTCTACACTTGCTAACCAATTACGGAGCTTCATAGGGTCCCACCTTGACATAGCTCGTGGAGGTGTAAAACCCTGGGTCAGCCCTGGGAGTGGAGCCTGAGAGTAAGTTTGTGAAGACTCTGCTCTCTGTGGGTCTCATGGACGTGGGGGAGCAGAGGGGACGGTGCAGTCCACGAGGAATTGTCAGAGGCTCCTGGACTACATCAAAGGGCTAGAGTGAGGAGGAGAGAGAGGCTGCTGCTGAACGCTGGGGTCATTCCCCACTGCCAAGAGGGTCTCTCCATGCCTGGAAATGCATCCCAAAGGGCAGCATCAGATAGATTCCTTTCTTATGTTTTCAGGGAAGCTATTCGTTTCTTGTGGCTGCTTTAATGAATTACCACTCTGGTGGCCTAAAGTAACAAATTGATTCTCTGACAGTTCTGGAGGCCAGAAATCTTAAAACAGTATTGGCAGAGCCATGCTCCCTCCAGAGACTCTAGGGGAGGATCCTTCTCTGCCTCTTCCGTCTTCCAGTGGCAGCCAACATTCCTTGGCTTGTGGCCCCGTCACCCCAGTGTCTGCCTCCTTCCTCCTGTGACTGCCCCCTCTGCTTATTTGCGTGAAAGCTCCTTCTTTCTCTATTTTATAAGGACACTTATGAGGACCTTTAGGGCCTACCCAGGTAATCTAGGTTAATCTCATCTCAGAATTCTTCACTTAATCACTTCTGCAAAGACCCTTTTTCCAAATAAAGTCACATGATCCAGAGATTAGGCCATTATTCAACCTGGTACAGGCAATTAAAGAGCTCAATAAGGTATCTTAACAATAATCGTATACTCTGTTAAAAAGGCAGATTGTATTACTGCTGGGCTTTTAGACTTGTTTGTTCACAGTACTTTTAAGAATGTCATTGCCAGAGGGTGTAATTTTTAAAATACTGCAACACAGAGTCGAGCAAAGACAATGCCTAATTGTACTTTTCAGCATTCCTTTTTCTCCACCTCCCCAAGAGGACGGATATGAAATATGTGTGTGTCTATGTGTTTTTGGAGGGTAACAGTTTACAAAGCTGTTAGTTTAGCATCCCTTGAACTACCTGGGGCCAGGCACAGCCAGCGTGTACCTTTACCTCCTGGGGACTGAGAGCATCGGCCTGGTTGACTCGGGGTAGTGCAGGCCCCATGCTGTGAGGTGTGGATGGCAGGGGCTCTTCTACCCTGTCTGGTCCCCTTGGGGGCTGATTGACTCTTTGTTACTCCCATCTTTGGATTAAGGACCTGAACCTCCCTATTAAAATGAGACTCTGGGCTGGACATGGTGGCTCATGCTTATAATCCCAGTACTTTGGGAGGCTGAGGTGGGCGGATCACTTGAGGCCAGGAGTTCGAGACCAGCCTGGCCAACATGGCCAAACCCTGTCTCTACTAAAAATACAAAAATCAGCTGAGTGTGGTGGCGGGCGCCTGTAATCCCAGTTACTCAGGAGGCTGAGGCAGGAGAATTGCTTGAACCTGGGAGACAGAGGTTGCAGGGAGCCAAGATTGTGCCACTGTACTCCAGCCTGGGTCACAGAGCGAGACTCTATCTCAAAAAAAAAAAAAAAAAAAAGACATTGCTGTATAGAGGAGATAATAGATTATGCTGTTTACATCCGTCTTTGTTTGGTGATTCCATTGGTTAGTCACTATTAGCCACTTGCTGTTTATAAAGTGCTGTGTGTGGTAAAGGGGGAGTGGTCCCTGCATTAAGCCATGACTGCCTTACATCTTACCACAGATGCTGATGTGTAAGGACGTAGGGAAGGAAGGTGCCGGGGAATCTCTGGAAGGGCGGGTAGCCTCTGGAGGACCTGGGGTTGGGGGCTTGAGTGGGGAAAGGGGGGTGGCTGGAGTACCTGGAGAGTGACGGAATGCAGGTCCCAGGGAGTGGCGAGACATGCCAGGAGGGAGATCTGGGAGGAGTTGGGGCTGCGTGGTGGTGGGGCTGATGGAGAAGATGCTTGGGTGCTCCCATAGGCAGCAGTGAGACCTCAAGAGCTTCTGCCAGAAATCGAGAGTTCCAGACCCGCTGATTTGGAGGCAGAGTGTAGAGTGAATTCAAGAGGCCGGGAGGAGCCTCAGGAAGAGGTGACATCCATGCCTTAGTCCACGCTGGGGGCGGCCACACTTTTATTGATTCATTCACTATTTTGTTTAATTTAAAGTTTGCCTTTAGTTTGGACTTTTTCCCTTTTTTTTTTTTTTTTTTTTTTTTTTTTTTTTTTTTGAGACGGAGTCTCGCTCTGTCGCCCAGGCTGGAGTGCAGTGGCGCGATCTCGGCTCACTGCAAGCTCCAACTCCCGGGTTCACGCCATTCTCCCGCCTCAGCCTCCGAGTAGCTGGGACTACAGGCGCCGCCACCGCGCCCGGCTAGTTTTTTGTATTTTTAGTAGAGACGGGGTTTCACCATGTTAGCCAGGATGGTCTCGATCTCCTGACCTCGTGATCCACCCGCCTCGGCCTCCCAAAGTGCTGGGATTACAGGCGTGAGCCACCGCGCCCGGCCTTCTTTTTGTTTTTTAAGGTTTTCTTCAGCGTTATTGAGGTTGAAGACAGATAACCACGTGTGCGTCCAGTGTGCAGGGTGGGGCTTCAGTGAATGAACACGTTGTGAAATGGTTACCATGGTCAAGCTCATGGACATGTCCATTACCCCACAGGGTTATCATTTGTGTGTGTGTGTTGAGTTAGCAGTTTTCTTTCTTTCTTTTTTTGAGATGGAGTTTTGTTCTTATTGTCCAGGCTGCAGTGCAGTGGCGCGATCTCAGCTCACTGCAACCTCTACCTCCTAGGTTCAAGCGATTCTCCTGCCTCAGCCTCCTGGGTAGCTGGGATTACAGGCGTCCATCACCATGCCCAGCTAATTTTTGTATTTTTAGTAGAGACAGGTTTTCACCATGTTGGCCAGGCTGGTCTCGAATTCCTGACCTCAAATGATTCACCCACCTTGGCTTCCCAAAGTCCTGGGATTACAGGCGTGAACCACCGCGCCCGGCCTCTTGGCAGTTTTTCCAAGTGTGCAATACATTGTTGTTAAACCTGGTCACCACACTGTACATTAGATCTCAGACTTCTGTTTTTTTCTTTATCGTGAACTATGTCCATAAAATAATATCTGAGCCCCGCACTGAAAACATGTATTCATCTGTATTTATTTACTTATTATTTATTTCTATACTTGTACCTCTGTGCATGGCATATTGCATATAATGCATATTGAGTGCATTGTGAAACAGGTACAAAATATAATTACAAAAAAGAGAAATAACAAGAAATGGAAGGTCCACTGTCTTCATCCTGCGCCTGGAGGCTCCACAGCTGTGTACGAAGGTGTTCCTGTGGTGCTCGAGTCTCAGTTCATGATGGGCGTCTGGGCGCTGGCAGCAGTGGTTGGAATGAACCAGATGGGTGGTGTAGGGGAACAGAGAGGAAGGGCAGGTGGCGAGGCAGCTGGCAGAAGACATTGACATCATGTGTTGATGTCAGTGGCTGATCACATTAGAGAGGGGAGTGAAGACCAAAGAAAGAACAGGGCAGCCGGGCGTGGTGACTCACGCCTTTGACACCAGTGCTTTGGGAGGCTGATGGGGAGAATCACTGGAGGCCAGGAGTTCAAGACCAGCCTGGGCAACATGGGGAGATCTGTCTCTACAAAAAGAAAAAAATGAGCCAGCCGTGTTGGTGTGTGCTTATAGTCCCAGCTCCTGGGAGGCTGAGGTGGGAGGATCACTTAAGCCCAGGAGTTTGAGGCTTCTGTGAGCCACGATTGCACCATGTACTCCAGTCTGGGCAACAGAGAGACTCTGTCAAGAAAGAAAGAAAGAGAAAGAGAGAGAGAGAGAATAAGAAAGAAAGGAAGAAAGGAAAGAGGAAGGGGAGGGAGGGGAGGGAGAGAGGAAGGAAGGAGGGAGGGAGGGAAGAAAGGAAGGAAGGAAGGAGGGAAGGAAAAGGGTGAATACAATGGAGAGGTGACTTCCCCTAAAGGAAAGAGAACTGGGGACAGATGCGGATTTGGGTGGAAAAGACAATCTTCCCTTCCCTCTGTCCCTCCATCCTTCCTTCTGTTCTTCCCTCCCTCCCACCCTATGTCTTATGACAAGTTGGTTGTGGGGGAAATGATGCAGGAGGAGCTTCCTGGGGGTCATAAAAATGTGCTCCTGAATAACTACAAAGGTTGGGTGCTGACAGTGTGGGCTCCCTGTGAGTTTCCCGGGGAGGTAATTCATCAAAGGAAGGAGGCTTGAGGGCCTGTGCAGGGCAGAGAGAGGGTGGAGCAAGGCTAGGGGTGCTGCATCTTTGGGCAGTGTCCCCCAGCCATGCCCCAGAACTAAGATTGGGGGCTGATTTAGCTGTTTCTGAAGTGATTGGGGGTCCTCAGACCTGGAGGGAGATGATGGTGAGTCCTGAGGGGGAGTGAGACGAGCCCTTTGCTGGAAGAGAAATTGTTATTTCATCTTCCCATCCTGCAGAAAAATAAATTTGACATTAATCCTGCACTGTGCCTTCCAGACAGCCATTCAGGTTTTCTTAGGTAAATTCCATTGTCTTCCTTAATCATTGGATTTTTCCTAATGTTATACCTACATATGTGTGTGTGTATATATATGTATGGTATATGCATAAATATAAATGTGTATATATATATTTTCTGTTGATGCTGTTTTAGATAAGTGTTTCTCCTCTGCAGAGAAATAGCTAGCATTTTTCTTGGGTTCCTGTGCGTAGCCAAGGAATCGCTATTGTCTGTAATGTCTGTAAGAACAGGCATGTTCTTGTTTTCTCCTTAGGTGGCCATAAAAGTCATCGATAAGAAGAGAGCCAAAAAGGACACCTATGTCACCAAAAACCTGCGGCGAGAGGGTCAGATCCAGCAGATGATCCGTCACCCCAATATCACTCAGCTCCTTGATATTTTAGAGACGGAAAACAGCTACTACCTGGTCATGGAGCTGTGCCCTGGGGGCAACCTGATGCACAAGATCTATGAGAAGAAGCGGCTGGAGGAGTCTGAAGCCCGCAGATACATCCGACAGCTCATCTCCGCTGTAGAGCACCTGCACCGGGCTGGGGTGGTCCACAGGTAAGGGCCAGGCCACGCTGGTGATCACTGACTGTGAGGTCCATAGATGGCACTGGGCTTTGGCACCCTCTCAGCCTCTGAGAAAGGCTGAGCAATTGCAGCCCTGTTTTACAATTTTTCTATATTTTTATTTTATTTTATTTGTTAATTTTTTTGAGACGGAGTTTTGTTCTTGTTGCTCAGGCTGGAGTGCAATGGCGCAGTCACGGCTCACTGCAACCTCCGCCTTGTGGGTTCAAGCAGTTCTCCTGCCTCAGCCTCCCGAGTACCTGGGATTACAGGCACCTGCCACCACACCTGGTTAATTTTTTTGTAGTTTTAGTAGAGACAGGGTTTCACCATGTTGGCCAGGCTGGGAATTTTTCTGTATTTTTATTCCATGGAATTGTTTTGTGAATTGGGTTCATGCCAGTGTGAGGGTTAAAAGAGTAGAATCTGAAGCCAGAGTGACTGGGCTTGCAACCTGGCTCTGCCGTGTAATAGTTATGTGACCTTGGGCAAGTTACTTAACCTCTCTGAGCCTCGGTCTTTTAATCTGTAAAATGGGAATAATAATAACACTTCTCTCTCAGTTGGAGTAAGGGTCAATGAGTTAATACATGGGAAGAGCTTGGGACAGCATTTGGTACCTAGTAGGCATCAGGTGTTAGCTGCTTTTCTTCTTGTTTGCATAGTCCTGAGACCAGTTGTTTAGGTGCCTGAAAGAGCCAGTGTTAAGATGGCATGAGATTAGTGCAAGGTATGATGGTGCTTTCATTGTCTTTGCTTTACATATGGTAGCCACTCAATAGCTGTTTTATTCAATGAAATTGAATCACCATTCGAATTTTGAACTTGCCCTTGAAATCAAGGAGTGTTTTCCACAAACCAAACCAGTCTTGCAAATAATTTTGTGAAAATCAAGCTTGTTTTTAATAGCTTGTTGCTTCCTAGGAAGGGGCTCTACAAAGAAAGTGAATGGAAGCAGCATTCTTAGCAATGTTGCCATTGGTGGTGGTAGGTGCCTGCTTTTAGTACGGTATGAAAATAAGAGCAAACGAATTTAAAGAAATAAAAGCTCCCTCTTTTCCTCCAAGGGGGTGTTGGCTTCACCAACAAATGCATGGTTTTTCCTTTGTGAAATTATGATCAATAATTACTCTGGGTTATTGAGAACAACCAGAAATCTTTTTTTTTTTTTTTTTTTTTTTGAGACTGGGTCTCACTTTGTCGCCTAGGCTGGAGTGCAATGGCGCAATCTTGGCTCACTGCAACCGCCGCTTCTCAGGTTCAAGACATTCTCCTGCCTCAGCCTCCCAGGTAGCTGGGATTATTACAAGTGCCCACCACCATGCCTGGCCAGTTTTTGTATTTTGAATACAGACAGAGTTTCGCTATGTTGGTCAGGCTGGTCTCGAGCTCCCGACCTCAGGTGATCCACCCGCCTTGGCCTCCCAAAGGATTACTGGTGTGAGCCACCACGCCCTAGAAATCTTTTTTTTTTTTTTTTTTTTTGAGACGGAGTTTCACTGTTGTTGCCCAGGCTGGAGTGCAATGGTGAGATCTTGGCTCACCGCAACCTCCGCCTCCCAGGTTCAAGTGATTCTCCTGCATCACCCTCCCTAGTAGCTGGGATTATAGGCATGAGCCACCACGCCCGGCTGATTTTGCGTTTTTAGTAGAGACAGGGTTTCTCCATGTTGGTCAGGCTGGTCTCGAACTCCTGACCTCAGGTGATCCGCTCTCCTCGGCCTCCCAAAATGCTGGGATTACAGGCGTGAACCACCGCACCTGGCCTAGAAATCATTTTTAATTGGTGCTTATTTTAAAAAGCAAGATTGAAGTATGACATATTTATGTGTGTATATATGTAAACATGCACACGTGTGTGCACATGTATGTTAAAATATTTTTAAATTAATAAATGTATGTACTATAAAAGTCACCATTTAAAAGTGTATAATCTAGTGTTTTTTAGTGTATTCACAGAGTTGTGCAACCATCACCACCTTCTAATTTTAGAATATTTTTATTACCCCCCCCCGCCCAAAGAAACCCTGTACCCATTAGCAATCACTCCCCATTTGCCTCTTCCCCCAGCACTGGCAACTACTAATTTACTTTCCGTGTCTATGGATTTGCCTATTCTGGCCATTTCATATAAATGGAATTATATAATATATAGTCTTTTGTGATTGATTTCTTTCATGTAGCATTATGTTTTTCAGGTTTGTCTAAGTTATAGCATGTGTCAGTGTCTCCTTCCTTTTTATGACTGCATAATACTCCATGTATGGATATACCACAGTTGGCTGATCCGTTTGAGTTGTTCCCACACTTTGGCTAGTAATACTGCTATGAGCGCTGTTTTCACTTCTCAGAAAACTCCAACTCTTAGGAGTGGAATTGCTGGGTCATATGTCAGCTTTCTTGATCCTTTTGAGGAAACACATATTTTTAAAAAATTCAACATTTAATGGTAAATCTAATTTTAATTTTAATAATGATAATCGAGTTCTATCTGTTTGAAAGCCATTTTCTTTCTTTCTGTTTTTTGTTTTTTGTTTTTTGTTTTTTTGAGATGGAGTCTCGCTCTGTCGCCCAGGCTGGAGTGCAGTGGCGCAATCTCGACTCACTGCAACTTCCGCCTCCCAGGTTCAAGTGATTCTCCTGCCTCAGCTTACCAAGTAGCTGGGATTACAGGCACGCGCCACCATGCCCAGCTATTTTTTGTATTTTTAGTAGAGATGGGCTTTTGCCATATTGCCCAGGCTGGTCTCAAACTCCTGACCTCAAATGATCCACCTTCCTCGACCACACCCCAAGTGCTGGGATTACAGATGTGAGCCACCATGCCCAGCCATGAAAGCCGTTTATTTTCTGATCAGTGACAAAAGCAGCTCCAGGCCTTTACTTAATAGAACTTAGACTTCCAAGGTGGAGAGAGTTGTCTCCTTACTAATGGGATTGGTGCCATGGGATGCTCTGCCCTCTCATGTCTAAACCCACGGGAGGTCCATTGTCCAGGCCTTTTCTAGAGCCAGCCTTGGGTAGGCACCATTCAGGCCAATCATTTCCTCCTCACTGAGGTGAGAACACCTCTTCATATATGTATTCTTAGTCATGCGTGTTGTCATGAGATCACACTTCATTAGAACTCTTTGGGCTTAGATTAGCAAGGAAGAGAACATTCAGAAATGGTAAGTGAATCATGCTATTTTTGGCTCTTCCCAACAATACCCTTGGGTAGCCTGAGGTGTCATAGCTCTGCCGTTATTAGGAAAATGATAGTCGTAAGTGTTCCTGGCTCTGTCTTTGTTTATTAAGATGACAAAGGCAGAAATCTCACAAGTGAATCAGCTTGGATTACCGACTCCGCAGGTCACAGTGGAAAATGGAACGAGGGACTGCGAGCGGCAGAGCTTTTTGTGGTACTCGGGGTGTTTTTTGCAAGGATTTTGTGCTGTCAAAAATAAGATGAGCACTGAGCTTCTCAGGATTGTGAGAACAACAAAGAAAACCAAGTGGAAGCTGCGCCTTGCACACTGGCCTCTCCTGCAGGAAATTCTCAACAGCCCTTTTAAAGTAATTTTAACAAAATCCAATCCCTCTCAGCGCAATTACTGTCAGAATGTCAAAGCAATGAATTTAATAATGTTTTGATAGCAAGGACGGTATACTTTTTCTTTCTCTGATCTCCAGCTTTTTCTACTTTTGCCTCTCTCTCCTCAGGAATATATTTATAATCCAATAATGGCAAGGGCTCAGATCTTTTAAAGTTAGAGAAGATTGGAAATACACAGACAATTTAGGAAGATTTTTTTCACGTTTCCCTCTAAAAATCATGTTAATGTGTGTCACCGCCCATGGACATAGGTGATTAGGTGGTTGAGACCTCACATTAAAATGCTTGTTTAGAATATATTCATAGTGGCTTTAACGGAATGTCTTGACTTTCAAAGACTCTATACCACTAATTTTGGGTGTTCATATTTCAACTGACCACTGGTATGCTCTTTACTGGAGCCCTTTCTCATAAAGAATTTTCTCCTTTATGCTGCAAAGGTGGAATGAATTTCATAAATTATTTTGAGGTTAGAGTTTTCAAATGAATAAGAGACTATTGCATTTCAGAGAGGCCTGGAGTCGCTGGTGGGAAGATTTCTGAGTAAATATATTGGATCATGCAAAAGGATTCAGGATGATTTTTTGTGGCTATATGTGTACAGTGATTTTAGGGGCTTTTGGTTGTGTGTGTGTGTGTGTGTGTGTTAGGGGATCCTTTAAAAATGCAGTTCCTGATTAGGCTGATATTATGTTGTTATGTCATAATCAACTTAATGCTAGCAGAGCCCTCATTTCCTGTGGCATTAAATCGAAATAATTATTTATCTTTCCAGAAGTATTTAAACATCATTTAAAAGAAACAATAAATATGACAAGTAGGTTTTTTGTTTGTTTGTTTGTTTTTTCAAAGGAAGCTAAGCGTGTATAAAGCAGATTTGCTTTGCTGGCAGAGAACTTCCTATGAGACTAGACTTGCCACAGCCTCTGTGTCTAGGGCTGTTGTTCATTTTTACAAAAGTAGAGTGTGGTCTAACTTCTTTATTATTCTATTTTAGAATTGTCTAAGCTTCTCTAAAATATAACAGGTTGCTTTTCCTTCCCCTAAACGTGCTCACCCAGCAGGATGCCAAAATCTGATGATTTGCCTATTGTATATAGAGCATCAACTCTTAACATGAATCACCTAGAACGCCGATTCTGCTGAGAGGCTAATTTGAGATTCATGTGTTCATTCAAAATGACAAAGTCCAATCAAACTATACAGAGAAAACACAACTGGATAATACAATACCACCATCCCTAAGCAGGAAGAGAGAAGCCATGGGGCTGCAGGACCAGGAGAAAGAGACACACGATCAAAGGGAGCCGGAGCCTGAGCTTGGATGTGTGTCAACACCGTGGCTCCCAGGGCCATGACCTTATCCATTCATCAATATGGAGAAAAGGGCTCTGTG